GTGTGTGTGTGTGTGTGTGTGTGTGTTACCTGGGATCCAACTCAGGACCTTGTGCTTGCCAGGCAGGTACAATGCCCCTGGGCTACATCCTTGGCCCTAGAAATTTATACTTTTAAGAATTCTTTAAGCTGGGCATGGTGGCGCATTCCTGTAATCCCAGCACTTGGGAGGCTGAGGCAGGAGGATGCTGTGAGTTCAAGACCAGCCTGGGCTACATAGTAAGTTCCAGGTCAGTCTCAAATACATAGTGAGACCCTGTCTCAAAAAAAAAAAAAAAAAAAAAAAGAATTCTTTAATATTCCTGTTGTACCTACTTTATTAAAGGATGCAGTTGCTCTTTAGACAAGTATTGATTTCTGTTTTCTAAAGAATTTTGTCTGGTTGTTTTTTTATTCCTTGTCTGACTTTTGTTTTGTAACATAATCTTTTGAAAATAAGTATAGAATGTAATGGCAAAATCATTAAAAAACAACCTTTCTTGAGTGATGTCTAGGGTTAACATCTTTTAAAACTCTTATTTAGAAATGATAGGGAGGCAGATGGGATCAGAAGAGCAAGGTAACATCCTTTTCAAATTAGCCCTCTAGTATTGTAATAATTTTTTTCACTTTTTAAGTTATCCTGTTTTAATTATTTTCATTAGAGATATATCTTAACACAGTGAGTCATAGAAACTTGTTTTGGGGAGTGTTTTTTTTCTGAAGACAGAAAAACTGTAGTTTAGGCTGGCCTTGAACTCACTGTGGCCCAGGCTGGCCTCAGACTCACAGCGATGCTCCTGCCTCAGCCTGCCGAGTGCGGGGATTACAGGCGTGCACCACTATGTCCAGCTCTTTGGGAGTGTTTTTATTTTTGAATTTTACCATATCTACCAGGAAATATTTTTTATATAAACAGGCTAACATTTAGGGTATATATTTTGCAAGGGAGTAATTGTTAAGCTGTATTTTCATCCAGAAATAAATGGTTTGCAGCAGCTTTAATATTTTAGTACTCTAGTTGTCCCCAGTATCCATACCACATGACAAGAGTTGGAATTATAAAATGTTGAAGTCATGTACTTTAGTCCTATTTTAAGATGCACCAAATACTAAGATTCATATAGCAGTAACTCAACTCATGTATAAGGTCCAGGATATTATGGGTAAAAATTCCTTTCCAGTAATGTTTGAAGCTTGAAGTTCTCAAGTTGTTTTTCTTAAGATACTGTCTACAAAGTACCAAAGTGCTCTCAATAAAAACTGCAAAAACTCCACCAGACCACCCAAATACCTGTTAAATTTGCTGAAATATCCTGTGACTTAAAATCCACTTCCTCTGATTTTAAATACTTGGTTGGAATCTTCTTGGAATAGCAAATATCTAATTTAGAAATTAAAACATAAGCTCATTGTACACTTTATATACCTTTTATTTAAGCTTTTGAAAGCCTAAATATAAACTATTATAAGCTGAAAGTATACTTACAACACCCTGTTTTTGTACATCATGATCCTAATTGTAGCTCATTCTTTCTTAGGTTTGTGTCCTGATGACAAAGTATTCATATACCACATTCCTTATGTGTGCATGTGCCCTTCTCTCCCTCATGTTTTCTCATGAACAGAATTCATAGTGAAATCCTTGTTCTCTGACCCCAAAATTCCTTCCCACAGGATTGACAGATACATTTCTTTGTCATTCTCTTTATTGTATAAAATTAGGTCAGTGCTTTATGGTGTACTGCCTTTTGGAAGAATATCTGGGAAAATAAATACTCCTTTATAGAATTTGTGGAAAAGAGAAAAAACTACATGTGGTAGTTAGTGCTCCTTCAATCTTGCTAGACACAAGAGAACGATGTTTCTTTGCCTTATCCTTTCAAAAGCTGTGCTGCTGCCCTTGTAGGTTTGAGAAATGCCCTTGGTTCAGAAAATTCTCTTGAAATAATATGATTTTTAGAGAGTGTAAAGTCAGCTGGGCATAGTGGCACACACCTGTAATCCCAGCACTTGGGAGGCTGAGGCAGGAGGATTGCTTCAAGCTTGAGGCCAGCCTGCACTGCATAGCAAGACCCTGTCTCCAAAAAGAAAAAGAAAAAGAAAGAAAATAGAGTGAGTGTAAGTTCATCCGATCTGAGCCTTTCATTCTACAAATGAGGGAGTTAATTTAGCATTGAGCTGGACAGTATTAGACATAATTTTAGTTTGTGAGTTACTTAAATTTCTCAGGTATTATAATAGACATAGCAATTGTGTTATTTGTAGGTATGATCCAAACTCCTTAGAGAGTAAAAAAGCTTGCAAATTGATTACCTCGTAGAGCCAACACTAAGAGAACTTTGGGTTTAACCTGCTCTCTTATAACTAAAATTGTAGTATTGTAATTTACTTCCATGTAAACAGTGGAGAGCATTAAAATTTGGGCATGAACATAACCAGGCACATTTGTCTTATCCAAAGGGGTAAATTGAAGTTAGCGATAAACTGTAAGAATTTCACTTAAGCATCCATGAGCTTCAGGACAGAAGTTTGACATGGAAATGAGGATTGAGGAATTGTGCCTAGAGGAAAGGTGAAGGTGAAGAAAAAGTTGGGTTTTTTTTTTTTCCATTTTGTACAATTCAAAATCAAGAAATACAGTAAAACAAAACAAAAAAACCTCATTTGACTTCTTTCCAAACTTGGCTAAAGGACTTGGCTGCCAAGCACTGTGCCTTTAACATCTCTTTCACTGCTGTGTAATATTTGGCTAAAAGTGGAGCTGCTCTAATTTGGCATTTACATGGCTTTCCATGTCCAAAAGGGGGTAAAATGCTTCTTTCTCATAATTTCACTCCTCTGTGTTAGGCAGGTTGGTCTTTTTTGCCTCCAGGTGTAAATTGATCTCAAAACAGGAACACTTTGCTTAGTTAAAAAAAAAAATCCTGAATATTTTCAGTTATTTATTTTAGAAGTGATTATAGGCCGGGCATGGTGATGCACGCCTGTAATCCCAGCATTCAGGAGGCTGAGACAGGAGAATCGCTGTGAGTTCGAGACCAGCCTGGGCTACATAGTGAGTTCCAGGTCAGTCTCAACTACATAGTGAGACCCTGTTTCAAAAAAAAAAGAAGTGATTATAATTTCAGAATATTGTAGTCTGGCTCTCTCTTCACTCTTTCTTCATGCTTATGACATTGTCAAGGCTCACTCTAGTTAGTACATGTCTAGGTCTTTGGGTTAGAAGGAGGCTGAAAACTTGGAAATGTACAGAATCCATTTATATTAATTTTGTTTTTGTTTTGTTTGGTTTGGTACCAGGGATCGAAATCAGGACGATGTGCTCATGAGGAAGGCATTGGCAACGTGTGTTTAATTAGTTTGATTCATGCTAAACAATAACCATCAAGGTCTCAAAGAAATATGATAGTATATTAGTACAGTTTTTTCTAAGACCTTTCATTGGAAGTTTTGCTTACCTGTAGGCTAATTTCTTTCAGGTTTTGGGCATGTGTTTATTTGCGTGGCAGCGTTTTTGATATATGAAATTAAAACTCATTTCATGTACTGCTCTAAAGTATCTCTGGGCCAGTATATAGGATTCCTGGAAATTATTGAAAATTATTGGTAAGCACAGTTATTATACTGTGTTCATACTCTGCATACTTTTACATATTGGCCAAGGTGATATTTTGGGCAGCAGCAAACAATGCTACTGGGTTATTGTCCTCTGGCATTAATTTAGCAGGCCTTTTATCCTGTATAGCTAATTAATGAATTCAATATCTTCATTTAACATACACTGAAATTGAGTAAAAATTATTTATTAATAATAAGGTTTTATTGAGTTATTCACATACCATGCAATTTACCTATTTCAAACGTTCAAGTCAGTGGTTTTTGGTGTATTCACAAAACTGCCCCACCGCAGACACAATCAATTCTAGAACATTTTATCACTCTAGAAGGAGACTCTATACTTAATAGTGTTATTTTCCATCATCCCCCTCCCCAGAACAAGGCAACCACTAATCTACTTTTTCTGCCCCTGTTGGTTGTCCTGATCTGGATGTTTCATATGAATGGATCTATATAATATGTGGTTTTGTGAGTCTGGCTTCTTTCATTTAGCACATTTTGAAGGTTTGTCCACATTGTCACATATATCAGTACTCCTATTGCTTTTTATTGCCAAAATTGTTTTTTAAGATTATTTTGGTAAACTGCAAATAATTAACACTGTATCCTAGGTGGTCTTTCTTCCTCCTCCTGTTTATCTTTTGTTTGTTAAAGTTGGTTAATTTTAGTTACATAACAACCTGACATGATAGAGGAAAACAACCTTTAAAGGAATTGTGTCTATGGTTTGATTCACTTAGAAATTTTATTTTCTCATAACGAAGTGCAATAAAATGTGTTTTTTCATGTTGGGGAAAAAAGATTACTTTCGTATTTTTCTTTCTCTTACCTGTTCTCCCCCTTTTTATTGTGTAATAAACTTTAAAATTTTCAGTCATAATTATTAAGATCTCAAAGAATAAGCTGGTTCATTTCTATGAGCTACAAACAAATCATGCTCTTGAGTGTTTCGCAGTTGATATTCATATTAAGAGAAGAGTTTTGGGGGCTTTTAAAAATATTTTCAGAAAATGTGATCTTAGATACTGCTGGTGGCAAACCCAGAAGAACCAGGCCTATCATTTAATCCCATTTCAATATCATTTGTATCATTAACATTTTTTTTATGTCTAAAAAAGCTTAGGTCATTTCTGTGCTGTCCCTAGTAATTCTTCACTAGGGAGTACCCGTATATTATCAGAAATAAGATTCTCAGGCCTGTGATTTAAGCTCAGTGGCACTTACAAGCACAAGGTCCTGAGTTCAATCCCTGGTACCGGAAAAAATAAAATAAAGATTTTCAATCTACCTATTGCTTATAAATTTGTAAACATCAAAATCCATGAATTTCTGTTATCAGCTACAAAAAACTTCTATGTGCTATGTTAATCTTTTGTCTTTTTGGATTTGTGTCTTCTTCAGGATCCTTTGAAAAATAAATCGTGCAAAAGGTTAGTATCCTTTTCTCAGACTTCTTTGTGCTATATGTAATGTCTAGCAAGTTCTTTTATAAATATACATGTACAACATAAGAGTACAGTTCTCCTTTTGGCCCAGATCATTGTAAATTCAGTAAGTGGTTCTTTGACATTAGCAAAATTAATTTTTTACAATTTCAACCAGTTTGACTAATCTAAAAGGTTTATGCCTTAAGTACTTTTTAAATGTTATTGTGACATCAGGTAGAGGCCAGTATGCATGAAAAGTAACTGCTATTAAGGCAAGACCTGGATATCTACACTGCAGCCTAGCCATGTGACTTCTACTTATAACCTAAACTCATGTAATCCACACATTCACTCTGTAAGAGAGGCGCTTTTACCACATTTTATGAAAGGAAAAATTATTGGTCATTTTTAGGAATTTGTTTTCTCAAAGGTTTACTTATCTCTTATAGTAATATAATAGTATTAGGTCTGAAAAGTATAAATTACCGTCACATAAAAGTTTCTACTTGAGGTAACTGTGGAATCATTGGCTTGGAAAAAAATCTTCATGAAGATGTAAAAAAAATTTTTTTTTTTTTTTTTGCCAGGAATTGAACTTGGGTCCATTTTTTTTTTTTTTTGTGCCAGGAATTGAACTTGGGTCCTTGTGCTTACAAGGCAGGCCACTGAACCGCTGAGCTAAATCCCTGGCCCCTGTAAAATTTTTATTATATCTTTTTGTTTGTTTGTTTGAGATAGACTCTTGCTATGTAGCTCAAGCTGGCGTCGAACTCACAGTGATTCTTCCTCAGCCTCTGAGTGCTGGTATTGTAGGCATACGCCACCATTCTCAGCCATTATATCTTTTGGAGATCTCATAGAATTTTAGAAAAAGAAAAAGTATGTCTCCCATAAAATCCTGTCTTATTTGAAGTAAAGACAATATAAAAAAGCACAAACTATTAGTAAATTCAATTTTCTTTTCCTTTATTTTCTCCCAGTGCCAGGGATCTAACTTACTTGCAAGGCAGGCATGGTGCCACTGAACTAAATCCCCAGCCTCCATTTTCTTAATAATAAGGATTTAGGAGCTAGGGATTTAGCTTAGTGGCACCACACCTGCCTTGCCAAGTGCAAGGTCCTGAGTTCAATCCCCAGTACCAAAAAAAAAAAAAACCTAGGCAAAACAAATGCATCAACTAAAGCAAAAGGGATAAAAGAAAAAGTGATCTAGACTTCATCAAAATTAAAAACATTTGTGCTTCAAAGAAAATGAAAAAGCAGACCATAAAATTTGGAAGTCATATATCTGGCAAGGAATTACGTCCAGAATATGTAAAGGACTCTTAAAGACTCAAAGCAAAACAAAAAAATTTACCCAGATGTGGTAGTGCACACCTGTAATCCCAGCACTTGGGAAGCTGAGGTAGGAGGATCACTGCACATTCAAGGCTAGCCTGGGCTACATAGTGAGTTCAGAGCCAACCTGAGCTATATAGTGAGTATGTATATGTATATATATATATATATATAAAATAAAAATGGTACTGGCTGTTGTGGCACACACCTATAATCCCAGCACTCAGGAGGCCAAGACAGAAGGATTATATTGAGTTCCAGACCAGCCTGGTCTACAGAATGAGTTCAAGACCAGCCTGAACTACATAGCAAGTTCCTGTCTCCAAAAACACCAAACCAAAAAAAAAAAAAAGTTGGGGCTGGGGATTTAGCTCAGTGGTTACACCACCCGCCTCACAAGCGCAAGGTTCAGAGTTTGATCCCCAGCAACCTCCCCCCCATCCCAGTTTTTTTAATAGACATGATGGTGTACATTATAAACCTATGATGCCAGCACTCTGGGGGGTTGAATCAAGAGTATCACAAATTGAAACCCAGCCTAGGCAAGTTAGAGACTGAGTCAGACCCCTGTCTCAAAATACAAGAAAGGGCTGAGGATGTAGTGAAGGCCTTGGGTTCTATCCCCAGTACCACCAGAAAAAGAAGGATTGGATGTCGTAGCTCATGGCTGTGATCCCAGCCCTCAGGAGGCTGAGGCAAGAGGATCACTACAAGTCCCAGGCCAGCCTGGGCTACTCATGAGTTCAAGATCCTTTCTCAAAAAAAAAAAAAAGGAGGGGAAATGTGTGCCTAAGTATACCAGAAAATATGCACAAGAATGTTCATAGCAGCATTATTTAGGATATTTAAACATTGGGACTATCCAAATATCCATTAATAAAATGAAGGAATAAATCATGGTATTTTCATATAATAATAATAAATGGTTCATAATGAAGTGCAGTAACTCCATGAAGTAACATGGATGAATCTACAAGAAGAAATTTTTGTCCATCTTATTGTAGGTTATTGCTGAATTCACACCTCCCTTACTGCAGTAGAAATGTGTTTTCTTCTCCTCAGTGACAGCTAAATAGTAGGAAAGATTATTAAGAAGACTGACCATTGTTTTTGCACTGAGGACTTTTTCTTCAGTGTTTTCTCAAGGATCCTGTGTTTGGACTTTAGTATTTTATTGTTGCTCTTCAAAAGGTCTGAATTCATTTCTCTCGTGGGGAGAGTATGTGAATGTTCCCATGTGCCACATTGCTGTTACATATGCCATTTTGATTAATTTTTTTAACAAAGACTGCCTGGTGACTATTAAATTTGTTCAGAGTAACTTTCTGCCTTACTTCAGTGTACAGAGTGCTAGGCATGTTCAGGCAAAGAGAAGTGTTTTTGTTACGAACCTCGGCTGGATTTTTTGACTTGCAAACCTTCAATACCAAGACTGGTTATGTGGTAAGAGGGGCAGCAGGTCATTACACTCTAAAGTTAGCAGTGCTGCCATACTCCACTACCTAAGAGTTATTTTAGGGAGAGGTGTTAATGTTCTGAAAAAGTCAAGGAAAGTTGCCTATGGTACTTCTTAAGCCAGCTACCATTTGCTTAACTCTCTTTAGAACTATTGTTAGGCTCATGTGTGTGTCCTTTGGAGTGTCCAGGCTCAACTAGAGATAAAAAGGATGGTTTAGAATCAGACCACCTGACCACCTTACGATTTGGAGTGCAAAGATTGTGTCTCCTATGTATGAGAGGAGGATCGTGGTTTTATAGAGTTGTGGTAAGGATTAAATTTTTAAAATACATGCAAAACAAATAAAATACTGCTGATTGTTGGGTTACTCCTTCCAAATTTACAATGGGATAGACATGGAAACACACACACACACACACACACACACACACACACACACACACACACACACACACACACACACACACACACACACACACACACACACACGCAAAATACTTATATAATGGTACTTTTTTTTTTCTACTTAAAACTATTAATTTGGGCTGGAAGTGCAGCTCCTTAGAGTATTTATCTAGCAAGCATAAGACCCTGGGTTCAATCCCTAGCATGGGGAAAATATTAATTATATTTGAAAAACGTCTTTATGTATATGTGTGTGATAGTGGAGATTGAATCCAGGGCCTTGCACATGATAGACAGGTGGTCTACTACTGAATTATATCCCCAGTTCAACATGAGAAAAACAACATAAAGAAGAAAACTTTTTTGGGTTTTTTTGTTGTTGTTGTTGTTGTTGTTTTGGTACTAGGAATCGAACTCCAGACCTTGTGCTTGTGAGGCAGGCAGCAGAACCACTGAGCTAAATTTCTGGCCTGTTTTGTTTTGTTTTGTTTTTTAAGACAGGGTCTCACTATGTAGTTCAGGCTGTCCTTGAACTCACTATGAAGCCCAGCTGACCTCAAACTGGAGGTGATCCTCTTGCCTCAGCCTCTTAAGTGCTGAAATTATAGGCATGAGCACCACACCTGGCTATAAAGAAGAAAAATTTACCCATAATCTGATAACCCGCATATAACCACTATATGTCTTTGTAGAAACACCTATAGAGGAGTGTGTGTATATCTTTTTTGATATTTTTATCCTTTTAAAAAATTTACTCTATAGGGCTGGGGATTTAGCTCAGTGGTGCCACCACCTTCCTCACAAGCACAAGAACCTGAGTTCAATCCCTGGTACCAAACAAACAAAACAATAACAACAACAAAAAAACCCAAAAAAGTTTTCTTCTTTGTGCTTTTTAATATTGGCACTCTAAAATAGTTTTGGTGTGCCAGGCATGGTAGTGCATGCCTGTAATCCCAGTGCTTCGGAGGGTGAGGCAGGAGGATTGCCATGAGTTCAAGGCCAGCCTAGTCTATGTAGTGAGTTAAAGGCCATTCTGAACTACGTAGACCCTCTCAAAAAAAAAAAAAAAATAGTTTGAGTTTTTCCAACTACTGTGTGATAAAAGCAATTAAATTTCCAAAATAAAATAAAAACTGCTTGCCCACATAAGCATTAAAATGTCAATTCTGAAAGATAGTGTATATTTGCTATAAAATATTCACAACTTCACTGCTTTTTTCTCTTTTCTAGCTGCTGGTCATATTGGATTCTCCCCATTGTAGGCGCTGTTCTCCTAGGTGTCCTGTATCGTTACTACACAGCAGAAAGCAAATCCTCCTGAGGGGACCTTGTTGAAGTCTGGGAAACACATCCACGTGGGAGTGAAAGTTGAAAGACTTGCTTTGGGGCTACAGTGGAGCCCCTCAAATCTTGCCAATTGTATTCTTCCCCCTTGGAGCCAAGGCAGTTGACCAGACGTCCACCTCCAATCTGGGACTGATGTCCTTCCTCTCTCAGAGCCTTACTCCCAGAGCACCTGCTCATTGTTGTGTCCTGGCCAGTGTGTCTTCTCATTGCTGGTTTTCACACGTTTATGTTGCTGATTGCAGTTCCCACATTGTAGTGACACTGCTCTGTGGGAAAAATGCCTGCTTTCCAATACTTCGAAAGCACATTAGAGTTTCACCCTAGTTTTTGAGATTTTTCTTTTTTCATTTTTTGAAATTCTGATTTGATTCTATTATTTACCATAAGGAGTTTCAGATGTGAAGTAAAAGTGTGCACCTGTTCCTTACAACATGACTGCCAGATGATCTTGTTCCCCGTTTGTTTATTAAAACTAGAGAGAACTATGTGGCCACCTCCCGCTTCCAGGCTAGTGTAGCTGGTAGTGTAGCTTCCCACCCCTCGGTCCAGCCCCTTTTTTTCCCAAGGGATGCTGGATAAAATCGCTTTCTTTTGCTTTCTTGGGGATGGGAACAGCCAACAAAAGAAAGGAATAGATTGGGTGGGATGATTAAACCCTGACAAATTTTTCTTTTGAAAAAATATTTTTTTTTTGGTACTGGGGATCAAACTTGGGTCCTTGCGCTTGCGAGGCAGGTGGCAGAACCACTGAGCCAAATCCCTGGCCTGAAAAATATTTTTAAAACACTTCTTTAGCAGGAATTTAGAAAAGGCACCAAAACCTTTTCATTTGTTTGGTACCAGCTTCTAATCCTCTCTCTCTCTCTCTCTCTCTCTCTGTCCCCTTTCTTAATGGTGAGAATATAAATGTATGATTATTGTCTATAGAGCTTTACCAAGGATTCTTACTGCTTTTTGTATATTGATTAGCAAAATTTTAATTCCTCATTTTACAAAAGCAAGAGACTCTGTGAAATGACTTCCATATAAAATATCATTTGAAAATGAGAGATCATGACAAGAGTCTGCTTTTCATTTCATCTGTATTTTTACTTTCATGGCTCCAACTTGTGGTTTTGTTTTACTCAAAATAAACAACAACAATAATTAAAAAAAACTGGTAGGCTTTTTTTTGGACTTGTATGTTTGTCTCAGTGAAAAGTAGTTTATATAGAATTATATTGCAGGCATTTCTGTGGCATCTGTGATTTATTTTCTTTCTTCAGGGTAGCACCGGGGTCTCCTGGCTATTTTCTGCTAGTAGCTTTGACTTTTTTTTTCTCTATCCTGTGAGGATTACCTGTTTGCTTCTGGGCTGTGGTCATATCCAGTAGGTAAGAGCTGGGTTCAAGTGCCACAGACACTGCTCAGTATCAAGCTTGCCAGGGACTTGATAAGGCAGGAAGCTGTCCAGCAAACCAGAGTCCGCCCATGCAGACTTGTAAGAAAAAGTTCAAACCAGGTCTTGTATCCTGTGATTTACAGTTGAATGAATTCTGAATTCACCAAGGTAAATTAAGCTTTTCTTTACATACTTGGATATGATACTTTGGAGTAGCTTCTGGCTGAGTTTTATATATCAGATATGGTTTAATCAAACTAATATCTTTAGAAAATGTTTATAAAATGATAGGAGGCTACTTTAAGAAAATGGAATGAATAAATGGTTATTACATAGCAAGGGAAATGCCTTGATGCATCTCCATTTAAACACGAGGAAGGGTTTCCTGGAATAAGAGCTGGGATGTAATTGCTGTAATGTCTAAGTTGTGTGACCATATGGAGTACATCAGGGTAGAGGGGAAGAAAAAGGAGTATTGAGGAGCAGGAAAGGCTACATTTAAGCTAAGCTTAAAGAAAACCAGAAGATAACCAGGATCAACTGTAAGAGCATGTTGGCATTCTCTAGAACTGAATGAAAAACATCTGATTTACAAGAATGTTAAAAGAACTAGTCTGAAGCAAAACTGCTGTTTATGATATTTCTAGGGTAAACAATTTAAAAAGTATGTTTTCTATTCCATATTAGGTTTTTTGTTTTTGTTTTTGTTTCGTTTTGTTTCGTGTTTATATCTGGACTTGTTTTTTGCTGAGAGCCAGAGGGAAAAGTTTTTCAGACATTGTCTCTAATGTCCGTGGAATCCACCCAATACCCAGGGCTACTTTTGAACTACTGCTAATATAAAAATTAGTATTATAAAAATTAAAAATTGTATTATAAAAAATTCTAGGTCCATTTCCTGTAATTCTGCTTAACTAAATGGCAACGTGAAAGTTTTTGAGTGAGAGTTTGCAGTGGCTTGTCTCAACAGTAGAGTGCACGATAGCTCACTAAAGTACACACTGTAGCACACTAGCCAAATCCATCAGGAAGGACTTGAATTTTCAAAGCAGTCTCGACATCCTTAGGTTGTGAAAAGGCAGTCCTTGGTGAACAGTGTCTCCTGGTCCCTGGGGTGTTTGGTTGGTTGTTGTGTCCCTAGGGAGGGCCAGCCACCACTGCACACCATACTGTCCATAGTAATTGCTGTGAACACAAAAGAGGCGAGAGATTCTATGCCACCAAAATGCCGGATTTAGTGCCCATTCTCCAAAATTTCCCAGCTCCCAACTCAGGAATCATTTTCCATTTTGAGATAATTTTTACATTTATAAGACCAGAAAGCAATGGGGACAAAATGTATATTGTGTTTAGTTCTTGTGACCACTTAGGCAGAAACAAAAATTCATTGGCACCAATCTTTTGTGCTGTTGGGTTCTTTTACCAGTTGTCATACATGCTTATGTTCTGAAACAAAAATACTGTCTGGCTTACGCTCATTTAGTGTCGATGTGGAGCAATGAAAAGTGCTTTACAAGCCAGGTAGTCCTTATTTCTGGCATCTCATGGTTAAAATCTGAAATGACATCTGTCTGGTTCAATTCCATTTTAGGAGACTGAGATGCAGAACAGTAATTTTTTTACCTCCCACTCCAGGAGAAATAGATTGAGACATGTCTTGTCTCAACAAGAAATTGATTTTAGTAACCATCTCATTTTGTTGCCAGATAGCACAAAAGTAATGAGGAGGTTAGTCACATGTGGCTGCTGTGCTCTGAAGACAGGTGTGGGGTTTGTAGGAGTGTTCTGAGGAGGGAGGTTCCAAAGAAGCAGCGAGAGTTGCAAGTTCCTTACCCTGGATCCAGCACCATGCATTTCAGTAGCTGCTCTTTGCCCATGCCTGTCTCCTACATTTGCTATTTGGGCAAAGCATCATTTCACTTATTTAACTTTCTTTTTACTTCACCCATAACTGTGAATGAATACTGTTAACATTCCTTTTGTGTATGCAATAACGGCATTTGTTTACCTGTTTTATTTCAGCATATTTTGAACAAAGATCTTTATCTCTTGCTGGAGTGTGCACGCAGTGAATGTTTGTTAGGACTACACATGATAAAGTTACTGTTTTCCTTTCCTTGCCATGACTACAGTTACAAAAAAATTGCTTTGAAGTACAAAAGTGATGGCGCTATAACCCTCAGGTGTTCTAGATAAAGATAATTTGGAAGCACGAAACTCACCTGTATCTGAGCTAATACCATGTGTAGTCTAATTTGGTGGGGAATTCTGTTATTCAGTATTCTTGCTGCTGTTCTTTGCTGAAAGTGGGTTTCTTATTTAATAATAATGAGATGCAAAAATAAAGGCTTTTGCCATATTAGTGGATGTGAAGTGGGCTCCAAGTAGACAGTTTGAGATTTAATTTCTATTGAAACCATCTGATAAAAAAGCCAATACAGAGCAATAATGTTCTCTTATCTGCAATGCCAGGCTTCAAGTGACTGTTTTTCTTGGAAATGGCTAAATTATCAGGGAAAATTAAACAGATATTAAAGGTCTAGTGACTGTGTTAATAAAACAAGGGAAATAAACCACTTTTATAACTACCCACAAAGTATACTGGTAGCCTTCTAACAATATATCAGATTACTGATGAAAGATGGTTCATTGGGACTTTTCACTACCACAAGAATTGAACCTTAGTAATGGGAAAAGATGGCCCCGTTCTTACTACCAGAATTTTGAATCTAATTTGTAATCTTTGATACTAATAATTGATCATCACAGCACTCTTCCTGATGCTGAGTATTTAGCAGATACTTGACAGATTCTGACTAATCGAGTTGAACTGAGATGGAAGATTGTGACTGACCCTCACATCCCTTGCAGAACTCTGTGTGTGTGTGTGTGTGTGCACACGCACACACGTGTGCTGGTGAGGGTGGAACTCAGAGCCTTGCACATGCTAGGCAAGTGCTCTACCACTGAGTCACATCTCCAGCCTCGAAAAACAGTTTCTTGGATCTAAATTAGATTTGGATGATGTTGCTAGAAACAACTTCAGGTAAGAGGTAGCCTACAAAGAATAGAGACTTAGAGATTAGGCGGGTGTGTGGCATATGTTTGTAATGCCAACTACTCAGGAGGTTAAGGCAGGAGGATCTCAGTCAGGGCAACAGTGAGACCCTGTCTCAAAAAGGGATGGAGACACAGCTCAGTAGTAGAGCCCTTGCCTAGCATGCAATGGATTAAATTCCCAGCACAGCCAAAAATATTTAACAGAAAATTCTTGAAGATTATTGATGAAATTCTTAAAGAGCTCGGGTGAAAAGCTCTTACATAATCTCACCCTGGATAAGATTTAACCTAGAAACAGCATGGAAGCCCATGCCTATAATCAGTTTCTTAGGCTGAGGAAGAGGATTGCAAGTTCAAGTGCAACCTGGGCAACCCTGTCTCAGAAAAGGGGTAAGAATGTAGCCCAGTTACTTGTATGGCATGAAAAGGTTGCAGTTCGTTGGAGGAGTGTTATGGCTGGTGTTTAGTTGTCCTTCTAAAGCCTTGTGCAGAGGAGGTGGGACTTTGAAAGTGGCTGGATCTGGAATGTGTGATGCTGAGGTTAAGGGTGTGTGATTGCTAACCCACTACATGTGTGTGCTTAGTCTGGCACCACCCTACTCCCGGTACTCTGAATAAGGTAAAAGGGGCAGGAAAACACTGTTAAACGTCCCTTGTTGCCTTCGCTGCCCTGTGTGTGCCGTGTTTCTCCTCTGTGAGGCCTGTTTGTCGTCCCTGCCTTGGAGCCAGCCAACTATGGACTAAATCTTCACAAACTGTAAGTCAAATAAACCCTTCCCCTCTAACTTTGGGTGCTGGGTATTTTGTCTCAGCAATGGGAGAAAAGTAACTTAGCACAACGTGTAAATGCTGTACATTAAAACATAACGTGACATTTTTGATCCATAAGTGCCAGTCTCAGGCAGTTTTCTGTTATTTGCTCCCAGTCCTGGTCTCTGTGACTGAAACCTTGATGTTAACTTTTAGAATCCCATGGACCTGGCAAGAGTGAAACCAAGCCAATCCCTGCTGCTTGGCTTTCATTTTCCAAGCTTGTTTAGGATCTTTATTCCAGTTTTTCAGAAATGGAGGTGGGATTACTTTGTAGAACAACAGAAATATGTTTGCCAGGGAAACAAATCTCACAGATTGGCCCAATCTGATTTTATTACCTAAGAAAACTGATGGGGGAAAAACAGAGATTGAATTGGG